TATCAGGTGTATCGACTCGCTCAGATACCGTGCATATAAAGCTCGAATAAAATCACATATACCATTACAAAAAAAAGGTCGATACGCGTGTGAATTCCAAATTCTCACACGTACATATGATTGTATATGTGTTCGAATGCATACATCGGTTTACCTCGTTTTGTAAATGCGTTCGAATGCTAATTTCCTTTACCTGTTTTTTTTTTTTATTATTATTATATACCCCGCTGAAGTGTTCTGCAAGTATGTTCTGATTTTAAATAATGCATTTAATTCATGAGCTATATTTGAGAAGTGCATAACTCCCTCCCAAAAAAGGAAAAGGAGCGTCCATTATGATGAATATATTGACGTATTTCCTTCCGTTCTTCTTTCCGTTATCAGAGAGAGAGAGAGAGAGAGAGAGAGAGAGAGAGAGAGAGAGAGAGAGAGAGAGAGAGAGAGAGAGAGAGAGAGAGAGAGAGAGAGAGAGAGAGAGAGAGAGAGAGAGAGAGAGAGAGAGAGAGAGAGAGAGAGAGAGAGAGAGAGAGAGAGAGAGAGAGAGAGAGAGAGAGAGAGAGAGAGAGAGAGAGAGAGAGAGAGAGAGAGAGAGAGAGAGAGAGAGAGAGAGAGAGAGAGAGAGAGAGAGAGAGAGAGAGAGAGAGAGAGAGAGAGAGAGAGAGAGAGAGAGAGAGAGAGAGAGAGAGAGAGAGAGAGAGAGAGAGAGAGAGAGAGAGAGAGAGAGAGAGAGAGAGAGAGAGAGAGAGAGAGAGAGAGAGAGAGAGAGAGAGAGAGAGAGAGAGAGAGAGAGAGAGAGAGAGAGAGAGAGAGAGAGAGAGAGAGAGAGAGAGAGAGAGAGAGAGAGAGAGAGAGAGAGAGAGAGAGAGAGAGAGAGAGAGAGAGAGAGAGAGAGAGAGAGAGAGAGAGAGAGAGAGAGAGAGAGAGAGAGAGAGAGAGAGAGAGAGAGAGAGAGAGAGAGAGAGAGAGAGAGAGAGAGAGAGAGAGAGAGAGAGAGAGAGAGAGAGAGAGAGAGAGAGAGAGAGAGAGAGAGAGAGAGAGAGAGAGAGAGAGAGAGAGAGAGAGAGAGAGAGAGAGAGAGAGAGAGAGAGAGAGAGAGAGAGAGAGAGAGAGAGAGAGAGAGAGAGAGAGAGAGAGAGAGAGAGAGAGAGAGAGAGAGAGAGAGAGAGAGAGAGAGAGAGAGAGAGAGAGAGA